ATAGCAAATCTCACCAAAAAATCAAATAGATTGGGCAGTGTCTGGAAAGCAGGGTTATAGTCCTATATAATATATAAAACCATTCACTGGTCTAAGGCTTATTTTCTTAAATCTATCAAGAAAAGTGGCTTGGGTACATTACAATGCTTTCCAGTTAAATTTTTTAAAATCACTGATTTATGTGTATGAGTGCTTTGCCTTATGTACGTAAGTGCAACACCTGGGGAGGCCCGAAAAGGGCACCAGGTCTCCTGAAACTTCAGTTTATGGACAGTTGTTAGCCACCATGTGGGTGCTGGGAACTAAACCCTGGTCCTCTGCAAGAGCAGTTAACCACTGACTGAGCTGTCTCTTTAGTCCCCTCAAATTCTTTTAATTACTTGATTGCTCAAGTAATGCAAAATGTGACAAGGATTGCTTTACTTTGAAAGTAAAAGAAATCAGAAAACAGTCAACCTCATGACAGACGATGGGAGTACTTCTTGACACCCTCCCCACCTTTCACTCTCACCAGGACAAGCTCAGGTTATATTTATGTCCTGAGAGTTTTGCACTGCCTAGTCCATGGTTGGCCCAATGAATAAAGTTTTATTCCATTTAAAAGGTAACTTGTGTTAGCTAAATAATTAAAATGCCTGAGGACACTCCAGGGCATACACACATTTAGGGTGCTTAGACTTGTACCAACTGAAGAATGATGTTTACTGTGTATTTAAGTCCTAATGTAGACAAAAATGGTGTACTTGTTTTGACCTAGGATATTCTCAGGACATATATTTTATATGAAGGTGGGTCACACAGAGAGTAACAGAATGATACAGAATTAAACCTATATGAGAAAAATATAAAAATTTTCATGAATTTCTTCAAGACCTTTTGAGCAAGTAAAGTTTTCATAATCCCAAGGTAACCCGAGAACAATTTCTATAAATTTCTGTTCACTCATATACAAAGTTTTCAAACGGACAGGCATATCTACTTGCACAGAACAAAACCTAAATTAAAGCACGTATTGCAATGATGCTTCTGTTACTAAATGACATTAGAATGCCTAGTTGTAAAGCACCTAAAGATTTATATTACAAAAGTAGAAAAATGTTAAGATTGAAAATGATTTGCTTCAAGTATATTTCACATTGAATATAAAAAAGAAACCTGTCTCATTCTTCTTGATAGTCAACATGTTAATAAACAATAAAAAATAAGCGTGGATTTATAAATAGAAGTAGAAAGTATAATTTTCTTTCATTTGTTTATAAAGAATACACATTTTGAAGTATATACACATCCAATGATGAAAGACTGCCTTTTCACTTTTCTATGAACGTTTGGGGAAGCCTTTCAAAAGGGATATAGAGATGAAAGTCTCCTTTGGGGGCTAGAATTGCAACGACTGAGCTGTGTTAGCTTTCTACCACTGTAAGAAAATACCTGAGATAGTAAATTTGACAGTAAGAAAGATTTATTTTTGGCTTACAGTTTCAGTCCCTGCATTACAGTAGCCAAAAGCCCCGTGGGAGACGGCTGGGTACAGCAGAATGTGGCCTGAGTAAAAGAACCAACTTTTCAGTTTCACTGGTCAATCACTTGGTCACAGGACCACCCCTAGGAAGGTGGGTTCCCCTTAAGTCATGCTAAAGAGATGGGAGTTGGGCAGAATAACTACTGCATTAATGAGATGGTGAACTTCCTTCCAGGAATCCCCACCTCCTGGTGTCTGGACATGTGGCTCTTCCAAAGTCTTGCCTGAATTCTTCAGAAAAGCTTAATCCCTCCATTTCTTCTGTCTCTTTCCTAATCATGCTTTCCCTAAGGCTCTGAGCTATCTGAACAGTTTGGGTTTTGTACCTTTTCTTCTACCACTCCTTTCTCCTCTCTGGTCTGGTCTCCTTTCTGGTCTCTTGCTCTAAACTGCATGGCTTCATGGCTTTTCTCCTCCCCTTCATTCCCCAACTCAAGGCAGCTGCTGACATTTACAGCTTGCCTGCCCTGAGGATTTTTCCTTAAATTCTAATAAAAGTGCCTTAAGTTTCCATTTGAGTCCATTCTTAAATTCTTTTATGAGACTAAGGACCCTGGTAAGGGGACCCTGATTTCCCCTGTATCATGTTGGCAACTATAGTGGGACACCAAAAATTCTAGTAACTTATTTGGTGTTCATGCATGGTGATTTTACTAGTGCCTGGGGACTTGGCTGCTAGGCAGGTAAGCCCCTTTATCCATCTTGCCTCGGGGCTTCTGAGGCCATAAATAGTTCTATCTCTGTGAGAAAAGAAAAACTTCTCAGGTTTTTGGGTTTTCTTACCACAGTGATTCCCTCCAAGAACCTGGAGTGGGGAATGGAAAACAATCAGAAGGGTTTGAGAAGGTGGTCCCCAGGCCCTAGGCCGGAATGTTGGGCAGTAGGCACGTTCTAGACCATCTAGACCATGTGCTCAAAAGGCAGCTGCTTTTCTAACTGGATCTAAGGAATTTAAATTTCAGGGAACACAGAGAGTCACACACTATGCTCAGGCAGGACATGTGCTCTCATAGGAACAGAATGTGGCTTGGATAGACCCATACAGTCACTTCGGCCTATTGATTCGGGCCTGTGGCGACAGAGGACATCAAGGCAGCAACACATAGCAAAGGAATTGCTCACCTTATGGTGGCCATGAAATGAAACAGAGAGGAAGAGGCCAGTGTCCTAATATCCCCATGAATGGTGCACTTAACTTCCTTCTACTATAGTACTAAGCCTCACTCTAAAAAGAACTACCACCTCCCAATAGCACCACTGGCTAGTAATCAAGCCTTTAGCATTTGGGCCTTTGGAGTATACCTGAGACATAAACCATATAACAGGAGGTAAAGGCTAATATAGTAAGGTAGAAGAAAAAAATTATAACTTGTTTTTTAGAGACAGGGTCTCCCTGTAGCCCCAGCTGCCCTGGAATTTGCAATGTAGACCAGGCTGGTCTCAATCTCAGAGAGATCTGCCTGCCCCTGTCTCCTGAGAGTTAACATTTTAAAATAAGGATATTTAATACTTCATGCCTTGAAAATGAGTCATAATATTCAAAGACGTTGAGCTAAAAATACAGTACACTAGCTATCTTAAGTCTTTTTATTATTCCTTGTAACAAAACTTTATAGTTCCACATTTAGTTATGAAAACTAATTACATCAATATATGAGCAGAGCCATGGGAAGAGATGCATCATACCTACATAACAGAATAAAAGCCAGGAGCTCTAAGTTGTAGTTTTTCTAGAAGCAAGGCACTCATTTTCTCCAAACTTCAATTTCTTTTGCCATGATAAAAGCAGAATATAAACTCAAGAGTCCAGGGTGTTCACCATTACAAGATGAAGCCCACAAATAATATCAACTCATTGAGAAATGGCAGAATTTTATACCTCCTGGCTTTTGACTAAACTACAAAGGCTTAGGAATCTTGAAAGCATTTTATTTATTCAATATTGAACCTAGAAAACTAAAGAACTTAGGGTCCAATTGAGTACACTAGGTAGATTTAAATTGACAATGTCTAGTTGACAAAGCTTAAAATGACAAGATTTCTTAGTTGTGTTCCCTTGTCATTCATTGTTAATAGATTATCTTGGTGTGAAGTTATTTCTGACAACACAGTTCTATCTTTAACAATCTCAAATGTGAATATCTACATATGGTAAGGCCTTTGAATATTTGAGATCATCGCGGAAGGGCAAAGAACAAGACTTGCTTTAGGAGATACTGAGTTCACAAACTATTTATTGCTCACAGCTCATGCAAATGAATTTAAGGGGAATTCTGTTTTTCCTTCTTTCCCAATCCAAGTCAAATTGTTTATTAGACACATACTATAAAAACTAAGATAAGATCTGGTGTTTTGAGCCAGCAGTGTACTCTGTGGTTTCCTAATGCAATAGCTTGGAAAAGAAAAAAAAAAAAAAAAAAAAAGACTTCCTGAGATTAAAACTAAATAAGCTTTGTTTATTCCTCAGCACTTCCTTATAGTAGTGGGGACTGGACCATTTTAACTTCTCCAGCATTAGTTCTTAAAACAGCTACGATAAAGCGAAAATTCTTTGTTACACGTATTTAATCTTACAAATCTGTGTTGAGATTTTAGTATATTATAGTCAACAGAGCGTAAGGGAAAAAATACTTGTGGTATCTTTTACATTCCTTAAATATGTAACTATTTAATTCTCAAAAACTCCAGGAAACTTTATAACTTCGGCACAGTTTAAATGTTTGCCCAAGAATACAACAAGGAGCGTAGAAGCAACCCTCACCTCTTACAATTCACCGTGTACGTACGTCAGGTGCTAAACTTGCAGTGCACATTTTTTTGAACTGATAAAAGCTGTTTACTAATGTAATTTTTCAACCCAGAGCACATTATATGATTTTCCAACTAGACAAATAACCCAAGCACACAGGTTTATAGAAAACTGTGTGCCCGGAGTCCGTTTACTCCACAGAAACAGGAAGTACTTAAGTGCTGTGACGCAAGACGGCAAAGCCTTGAGCTTAGTCTAGTTAAACTCCCCAGGCTTTTCTCCTGAAAACCCCTTTGGGCTTCAATTACAGACCGGAAGTGATCAGTTACAGGGACAAGACACCAGAGCAGACGTTCCCTAAACGCAATTTTATTTTGTCCATGTACAAGGGCAACTTCCCCGCAGGAAGGGCGACAGAAAGGGCTAGGAGCCAGCTCCTCATTCCCCGTGCCGGAAGCAAACCTTCAGGAGCCCGACTGGGGCCCAGCGGCCTCCGCCTGGAGGGGTCCGATCGCAGGCAGCTGTCGGGCACGGACAAAAGGCGGGGTCCGGGTGCGCGCCGCCCGCGCCGCCACGGCTGTTCCCTCCGCCTCTCCTTCCCCGCGGTCGCCATGTCCGTGAGGAGCGCAGCATCCCCCGTCAGGCCTTTAGGCACTCCTTCAAAGCCGAAGCAGCCCCTAACGGTCCTGGGAGAGCGGAGAAGGTGGCGACACCCCGCAACTCTCTTACCTCGGCGCGCAGCTCCCCAGACACGGAAGGGGCGGGCTCAGCCTGGCTTCTCCGCCCCCAGTCGCCGCCGCGCCCACCGGCCGCTCCTCCCCGTCGGTCTCAGCCCGCGGGGCAGTTCGGCGGGAGCCCAGGGGGCCGGGTGCGCATGCGCGCAGCACACAAAACCGGAAACTTTGCAGACAAAGTTCGGAGCTCCACCCCCGCCGCCGCGACCTGCAGCTTCTAGCACGGACGGAGTGACCGCTCGGCCCGGCTCTCGAGTGCGCCATGTCGGGTTCCTCCAGCGTCGCCGCCATGAAGAAGGTGGTTCAGCAGCTCCGGCTGGAGGCCGGCCTCAACCGCGTGAAGGTGAGCGGGGCGAGCGAGGCGGCCGGGGTCGGGGCGGGGGCGGCGGGGCCCAGCTGTGCGGAAAGGGGCTGGCGCCAGCCCGCCCTTCCGCCCCGGCGGGCCTCCCCGGCGCCCCCGCCCTCCCTCTCGCTTCCCCGTCCCAGGCCGGGTCCGAGCCCCAGGAGTCTCGTCCACGCTTGGTCCCCAGCCTCGTTCCCACCCCAGGCGTCCCAGACTTACTCCCATATGTGGATTCCTGCTCCCCATCCTCGCGTCCCCGGAACACGCGAAAATGCTGTGTGGGTCAACAAAGAGCAAGTTTGGTTCGGAACGTCCCGGAGTCCCGGGACGTCCTGGTCGGCCGGTGCACCTCCGACACAGGCTTCCGCTCCTCGGGCGCCGTGCCGCCGCCTGACCTTGGGAGGCACCTGACGGCCGGCCGGGCTGGCCTTGGCCTGGCTTTTTGGGCTGTTTAGGGGGAGAAGCCTTTTGTCCTGGTTGATAGGAAACCCAGTGTTCTGAGGACTCTCCTTAGCCCAAATCCTTAGCAGATTGGCTTCTGACGCCACAGTTAGGTTACAAGTGAAAAACACTTGAATTAAAAAAAGAAACGAGAGTATAAATCGCCCTGCCGCAAGCTGCCCGTTTCTTAGGTGAACGCATTTTGCCTACGGAAGACTAATTTCTAACCAGTGTACCTGGGGACGCTCCTGTTGCGCTTCCTCCACTAGAAACGTCTGGGGCCTGGCTGGCTTAGTGTGATCTTAGGAGGGACGGGAAACGCCCATCAGTTTGGTTTGGACTCTTTCTCCAAACGAAATCTCACCTCATCTCGGTGGCTTAGTCACTCTTGGCCAGATGTAGCTGTGAGATGTGAAGCCATCTGTTGATCATTATCATTCATATGTGTTACTGGCACAGAGTAATCCGTGAAAGAATGGTGAGTTAAGGAAGAAAAAAAAAAAAAAAAAAAGGCTGGTGAACATAGTAATGACAGCAGTGGTATGCCCTAGGCGCCAAAGAAAGTTCTCATACCGGAAGAACTTCCCTTACCTTGTGACCCCCAGCAGCCCGCACCACCCCTAGCTTTTCGTACGTTTTGTAATTTTTCTGAAGGCTTTGATTAGGATCATTTAAGCCAACACAAACAGACTCCTTTAGGGGAGGACATCTCACTTTGGGTATTTAAGTGAGTTTTCTCTAGACATGTCAGGTCTAGAGGTCAGGTTTCAGGTAACATCTTGCATCGTTTTCCCCATGCCTGTCTATGCCAGGTACTGTCTGACATTTTAAAACTTAGCATGAGCTCACTGTTTAAACCTTTACGTCTGTGTAGTTGGTAATTATCACAAGTTCTTAACAGTCCCAGAGGTAGGTCAGGACATTGGGGGAGTTAGGGTACTAATAATTAAGGCAGGATTGCAGTGTCAGCCTCCTGGATGGGGCCTTTGCTCTAGCAGCTTGTTCAGTTGAGTCTTGGGTTTTATGACTGCTCAGTTCTCCTGATGGCGCTTTGGTTTCTTATCAACGTGGACAAAAGGCTTTTCTTCCAAAGTGAATAGCCTAAAACAAAGCAGTCCTAAGACTGATTTTCACTGATGGTTATTGGGCTAGGTCTATTGCCATTGAAATCCCAGCTTAAATGTCAGCTCAGAGACTCAGTGGGCCCAGTCATCCTGTAACCCCCATCATTCTTTTTTTATTTTTGGTCAGAGACAGGGTCTCCCTGTAGCCCCAGCTGGTCTGGCAATTGCTATGGAGACCAGGCTAGCCTCAATCTCAGAGATCCACCTGCCTCTGCCTCCCCAGTGCTGGGACTAAAGGCGTGTACCACCACACCCAGCTAACCCCCATCATTCTTACTGCAGGGCCCTTAGCCTTTTTTCTGAGCTATCAGTTACACAGCATTAGGGATCTGTTATTTTTATTCTCAGGGCTTGGACATGACAGCCAGCTTGAAAAGAATTGGGTTGGACCCTTTCTACATTTTAAACAAAAACTAGCAGGCACTTTATTGTATTTTCATTGCTCAGTGTGAATGAAACCAAATACTGGAGCCATGTGAAAACTGATAACTACTTACCCTCCCTACACTAGGGAGGAAAGGGTAAGCAAGCAGGTGTGGTCATTTGTAAAAGTATTTTGTAAAGTATTTAAAAATTACTGGGACTAATGAACAGTTCAGTACCCTGAACTGTTCACCTTTCTGAGTATCCTGCCTTTAAGAAACACTGTTATTTCTCTCAAATAGGATTTAGCAATGTGTATATAATGTTACCCAAATAGGACTTTAAAGACCATCTGTGTGTGGCTTTATGGCTATTCTGTATTACCTCATCAGAATATATAAAAATAGTAGGTGCTTATGTGAATGAATGCATGCCTTTTTCCTCAATTTTAGCTTAAAATGCAAGATAGTACATGAATTGATATAAACTTAAAGAACACATTGAATAATAATGTTTGATTCTCTAAGTTCTATGCATATTCTGTTCATTCACAGGGGCATTTTTCCCCAGTAATACTGTTTTCAAGACCGAGTTGCTATAATGTTGATCTTTTTGTTGAATCTCTAATATTAGGTACTGCTGGGATGCAGCTCAGGTGTTAGGGTGCTTGCCTGGCATGAAGGAAGTCCTGAGTTAGGTTCCAGCACCACATAAACCTGGCATGGTGGGCATGCCGGTAATCCCAGCACTCAGGAGGTAGAGGCAGGAGGATCAGATGTTCAAGGCCATCCATTATACTAGCAAGTTGAGGCCAGCCTGCACTATCAGACCATTTCAAAATAAATAGCCCTCTCTCAAAAACGAAAATACCACAAACCAGTTTTATTTATTAGAAGTGTTGTATGAGCCATTGTATGACTGCTAGTTGTCAGTAGTATATATCTTTTGAGTACAGAGAAATGCTGTTTATTCTAGTTTACAAAGATCTGTGAAGACCAACTTAAATCCCCATTGTTCCTCATAGGTTTCCCAGGCAGCTGCAGACTTGAAACAGTTCTGTCTGCAGAATGCTCAGCACGACCCTCTGTTGACTGGAGTGTCTTCAAGCACAAATCCCTTCAGGCCGCAGAAAGTCTGCTCCTTTCTGTAGTCCACCTTTCAGAGGTAAGTGTCCTAGATGGACCAGACCTCCACAGGGGAACAACCAGTCTGATCTTTTGTTTGCAGCGCTAATGAGATCCACCCCTGCAATTTTGTTTGGCACTCCAAATTCCTTTTTTCTGTGGATTTGTGGAAACTTTTTGGTAGTCATGAAGACTAATGGCTTCTGTTTTTACCATAAGGAAGGTTAAATAATAACCATAAAGAAGGTATAGGAGACTTAGAAAACTCCATTGTCACAGATATGTTTTTACTGCCCTGGCCTAATGGCATGTGTACTTTGGGGTCTTCAAATACTATTTTATTTTTTGTACCTACCAAATTGACACTTTAACAAAATTTACAATGCTCAGGGAATGACTTTTAAGGTATTCATAGGTAGGTTTGAATAAATTCTGATCTAATAGAACCCAGCTGCAAGGGCAGTATAACAAAGAATTGGGGAAAAGTAAGTGTGCTTAAGTGAACACCCAATAGGCATTTGGAAAAAGGAATAACAGGATTTAATCATCATTCTTGTTAGTTGGGCACCAGAGAATCAGAGCTTTGAGTTTGTGGTGGCAGACAGCGGACTGGATTTGAGATTAAGAAAATAAACCACTTGTTTAATGTTTAATCTTCTAGGTCCATGAGAAAAACCATATCCAAAGGAAGTATGAATAAAAATGTGCTTTGGATAATTTAAAAGATACTGTAATTTTTAAATCCTTGGCACATTAGTATTGAACTGAGAAGCAAGTTTAACTAATAGTGCTAAAACCTGTTTTGTACCTGGTATAAACCCTTATTGCTAACATTCTGACTTGAAAAGTCCAGGCAGCTGCTTCCTACATTACCTCTTGCTACATAGGCTTTGTAAATTTACGGAGTGTCCAGGAAGTGAAAGTACAGTTGCAGTAAATACATGACTGGTTAAGATGACTAGTTTTTAAAATACCCGAGGAGGGCAATAATACCACGTTTAAGTATTAGGTTCTCCATAGGAAATAATATCAGTACTCTAGCTACCATATTTAACAATCTTATTATTTCCTGGCTTAGCAACAATATTTGGGAATTTTTAGAAGTTTCTTATTTTTATGATTTACTAAAGGTTCCTTTTGGACTCAGTGTCTGTATATTTACAAAATAATTTATTTTCATTTAATACATTAAGCTTGAACATCCTGTTAATAGCTTTTTTGCTCAGAGTCTGTATGTGTTTAAATTGCTTAAGTTTATAAATGAGATAGGGACCTTGAAAGTAAAATGGTCACAGTTAATTCTAACAATTAAAAAGACAAAACTTTGTGGGTATTATGATTATGACTTTCGGGTAAGAAAAGGATATTTGGGTATAGAAGCATTGGTTCTTTTGGTTCTTAAAAATGTGAATGAATCCGTAAGTTCCCTCATTCTGTACTTGGATGCTGATAGTCTTAAAGGTCTACAATGACTGCGTGGATTAAAAATCATTGGCATCTATACTCGCAGGTTTTTTTTTATTTGTTTTGTTTTTTTGTCTTTTTGAGACAGGGTCTCCCTGTAGCTCCAGCTGTCCTGGAACTCACTATGTAGACCAAGCTAGACTTGAACTCACAGAGATCCACCTGCCTCTGCCTCCCAGATGCTCCACCACATCCAGCTACAAGTGGTTCTTATTTAAAAACAACACAAAATTTAGGTAATTTAGCAACACATTACAAAAAACAAATTGCCAGGACGGCACCTAGAAATGACCACTCTTAAATATATTTCTTGAGTTAAAGACTTTAGTTTTTAAAACATAAGTATCATATTATAGGCAATTTTACATCCTGCCTTTTAAAATGTCAGTGAAGCTTCCTGTCTCATTTAATTTTTATATACTAGATTTTCAGTGGTTGTACCGTAACTTAATTTTATTTCATTTAACATTGAAGTTTGCGGATTTCAGGCTGCAGCAAGGTAGCCATCTGTACTTAACCTCTTAGGTTTCTAGAGGTAAAATGAGCAAGCAAGGAATGAACATTTGAACTTTTAATCATACTTGATAACCTCTCCCAGATTTCTTTTGTGTTCTGCCCAGGGCATGTGCTTTTCTGCTAAACTTTTTATTTAAGTCAGGTAGGGGGCTATCAGAAGGATGCAGACAGGGGAAGGGCATAAATGTCATCAAAATATTTCTATGAAATTCACAAAAATTCAATTAAATTATTTTTTAAGTAACACACATATACTGTATGGGCTCCCCCCCCCCCCCCCCCCCCCGCCAAGCACTGGTTTTGTTTAAACCTCTTCATTTGTTATGAAGTGCTTCAATTTCAAATAAATAGAAAGGTGAACCTTATACCTATCATCACAAACAGATCATGCTTTGCTGTGTACCTTTCCATGTAGCTTATTATGCCTGATTTTGCATTCTTACATACACTTAACTGCATTTTAATTGTTTTTTAAGATAATACCATCTTTTAAGTTGTAACTTTTATTTTTGAGATTTGTGTATTATTTGTGTAGACCGTTCGGCCACCTGTTGTATACAGAAATTTATCTGTTCCTCTAATAAGTTACATTTCAGTTGTCCATTTTGTATGCTATTGAAACACTGCTGTGCTCAACATCCTTGCATCATGTTTTCTGTGTGTAGGTCAATAGATGTGTTACCTGTGTTATCTTCAAAATGTTGCTGAATTGTTCTAAATATTCAGATTTTTTCTTATGAAACGTATATTTACCTTTAATATGATACAAGTATATTTCAGTAGTAATACTAGGAAGTAAATCTGTAAAACTCAAAACGGAGTGGCTGTGAAAATAAAGGGAAAGTTGGATTCTGTAATTTTACTGTACCATAAGCATTCCTATCCTGTTTCTTTTTAAAAAATACTTTATTTTTATTTTATGTGTATGAGTGTATTGCCTGCATGTAAGTGTACCAATGTGCAGTACCTTCAGAGGTCAGAAGAGGGTATCAGATCCCCTGGAAGTGGAGTTACAGATGGTTGTTAGCCGCCATTTGGGTGCTGGGAACTGAATCCCTGTCCTCTGCAAAAGCAGCCAGTGCTCTCTCCACCCTCTATTTCTCACTTAAAAACCCTGTAATGTATCTTAAAAAACAAACAGAATAAACAGGCTTAGGTTCAATAAGGGAACCCCCTAGAAATACAGCTGCTCCTTGACTTAGGAGGTGTATATCCCAACAAATCCATACTAAGTTGAAAAATGTGTCATGGACTTAACCCAATAAAGATAGCTGAGCAACGTAGTGTACTAGAGTATTGACAGTTCACCATTTTGATTGTGTCGCAGACCTGGGAGGCTCTGTCTCACTGTTGTTACTGTATAGCGTCTCTAAAGAACATAATGAAAATCATGTAAGTTCAGGAAAACGTCGAGTCTGAAATCGCATTCTAATGAATGCATATGTTTTCACCATTAAGTTGAAAAATTCTAAGTTGAACCATAAGACAAGGGTTGTAAATGCTGTTACTCAGAAAAACAAGTATGAAAATTACAGCATATAAAATTTTATAATTTTTTTAAGAATGGCCTTTTTTTAAAAGAAATTGTTTTAAGTATTGGTGATAAAAATATTTTGAAAGTATTACTGTTTGATATTTTGTCTTTTTTCTCCCATCAGGTTTGTTAAGCCACTTTTCATGAACCAGTGAATATTCAAGAGAACTAAATTTGAAGCCTGTACAAAAGTGTCCCTGTAACACATGTGCCATAATACAATCTTCTACTTGTCAGTCCTTAACAGCTACCTCTCTGAATTTTCATGGATTTCTGTTTCACAAGGTTATAACTATTTTATATACACTGGCTGTAACATACAATAAAACAGCATACAAATTTTTGGCCTTATTACTAGTATGAAATGTGCTGTGTTATTAATTGGCGTTCAATACCTGATAGTTCTTAGTTTTCCTTCCACCAACTCTTAAGACTATGACTTACATTGGCAAGGCTACTAGGGACTTACAGAACAATTATACATCTTTGTTCTTTGAAGAGTTTTCCAGTTTCTGTCCTTAAGTTTTACTTACAGGGCTTATTTTATTTGAAAAATATTCTAAATAGGGCTGGGGGGGTGGCTCATGGAGTGTGAATGCTTGCTACACAACCATGAGGTAACCCCAGCTCTTGGGGGGGAAGGAGAAGGGAGACTAGCCTAGGTGAGCTCCAGGAACACCTGGTGTCCGTCTTCTGGCCTCTGTGAGCTCATGGGTACACATACCTCCTCAGACTTGCATACATTACACACAAAACAAAATATTCCAAATAACTTTTTTTTTTTAGAAGTATTACCAGTTAGTTATACTTAAAAGACAATTAGATTGGAAAGACAAATTCCATCAAAACAAATCAAGAAAACCTTGAGAACATGAGACAAGGCCTAAATGGGGAGTGCCGCAATAGCAAGGTATTGCTATTGCCACAAGAAAGCAGGTATGAAAGAGGTAAAAAGGCGCAAGAAAGCAGGAATGAAAGATCAGCAACTCTGCTGTATATCCTGGTAATCTGGACTCTGATTTAATGCTGTGCACCCAGACACTAGGGGTCCACAATGAAAGTTAGAAGTTAGGCAGTATCTTTTACCTGTCCACGTTTGAAAATGCAAATGAGAGAAGTGATCTGAATCTTCATTCCAACTAAATTATTCACTTGCCACAAAATAAGTTTTAAGAAATCTAAATTACAACTTTTAGACCCTCATCAAAATTATATTTATTTATGTTTGCTACAAAGAGTGGCAAACCATGGTATGTGGTGGTCTGTTCAAATACAAGATTTATAAAATCAATAAATTCCATTTTGAAAAGGGTGTTTTTGTTACAAATAATTTACCAAGTTCTTCAAGTTAGGCCCATCCAGGAAAATCCGATACTATTCCCAAGTACTTTACAAATGGAATTTTCTTCGACTTGTATCCATTTCCCGTGGCTGAAAAATTGGAGGGGGGAAACAATACAAGAACGATTAGGTAACATAACACTAATTTACTTCCTTAGATCTTTATAGGTAATCATAGAAATGCTCTGAGGCCCTGAATAGTCCTAGGGCTAACTTTAAAAATGTGTTGGAAGTTACTATTCCATGCATGTATATAATTTTTAAGTAAATAATGTGAAGTAGAAAATACAGCTAACTAGAGAGAAATGTTTTATAGACACTTTCACTTATGATTTAAGATGCTCTCCAAATATGAAATCTCAGTGGTAGTTCTCAAGAAATACACAGCAGAATTTCACTGTAACAGGCTTAACAATGCTGGACCCTCCTCCCTATGTAGCTGATACAGTACAGTAGGTAGGGTCAGAGATGCCATTCCTGTTGATGTTACTGGTCTCACTTAAAGATTGCTGTTCAATGGAGTACGACAAGCAAATCCAGGTTAAATCAGCAGGCAAAGTTACCGTATCAGATTCATTCTTTACAGCATAGGAAAATAAATTCACCCACATATCCAGAGGCATGAACAACTGCAGCTTAAACCACATGGCTTTCTTTTTAAATGATTTTAAAGGGCCTTCGAACAGTAAGCACCTACCTTATGGACCCACTCATACTCTCCATATTTAGAATCAAAGGTTCCTTTCTGAAGAGATCGTAATTTTAAGGTAAAACGTGGTCCAAGTTCCTGAATTCCCACTTTCTTTTCACTCTTGAATATGTATCTTCAAAGACAAGAGTTAAAGTTTGGTTCACTCAAACTAATTTTCTTACGAAAGGGTGAAAGTTGTTATATCAGAATGTAGGTTCACATCGAATATAATGACAAGAAAGTCCAAAAACTTGGGTTCTGCCCTCACCTGTGAAACCTGAAGAAGATGTAATCCCTCTGATTGTGGAATGTGGCAACCTGCCTTCCAATAAATTGAGGATTATGGGGAAAGAGAGATGCAAACATACGTCCAATCGAATGACCTAGCCGCGTTGTAAAATTGTTCAGAATTATCTCAGGTACATGTCCCGTGGGGTCTTTGCCTCTTCTCTAGAAAGCAAAAAAACAACAAAACCTCCAAGCTAATAAGCAAAACAGTGTATTGCAATGCAATTTGAGGTACCAGAATTTATGACATTTGAAAATGTTTTAACATTTATTTTTGTCTCTACAGCCTAGACTGGCCTGGCGTTCACTATGCAGTTCAGGCTACCCTAGAACTCATGATGAGTCTTCTGCTCAGCCTCCCAAGTACTAGGATTATAGGAATGATCCACAATTCCTGGCTTTAAATTATCTTTTAAAATGACAAACTATAACAGATGGCTTATCAAACCCATAAAGATTTGCTTAGTATTTTAATATGTGTTACATAAGCCCAAAAGTAAACCCTAGCATAAAATCAACATTTCATCATAATGAGGGCTACTGCTGCTATGAAGCTGTTAAATCTCACAAAATACTTCAGTAGATAAAACTTTCATCAGGAGACCAAATAAAATTGGATCTATAAGAATTTGATAATGTGAAATCAGTATCAGTCAAGGAGTACATAAAACTTACCTTAATTTCTTTACGAAGACGAACACTGCTCATTTTAAAATGAGCAGTTGGACCATTTGGCAAGTGACTCAAAATAAGTCCATCTGTTCATGAAAGTTAAGCACGTTAACTTAAGTCTTAAACTGATTAAATAACTTGTCTTCTGTATGTTCAATGGTACCTAACTAAAATCCACAAATTGGTGGATGGATGAAGAGTTAACTGTAAAGGTCAAAATAAACCACATCAAATCTTTCAAGATGATACATTAACCCACAGTAATTTAATCAAAGATCTAGTTAACTGAATAGGGCAACCTGGGCTTTCAAAATAAACACATACACACAAACCCCTATTTAATAGCCACTACTCAAGCAGGAAAAAGGGATTCTAGAGTGTGGCAATGCAAAGAATACTTAAGTTTACCTTGACCTTAAGAAGACATATAACCCTAATAATGCAACATATATATATATATTTGTATGGTTAGGATATGCTATCCGTTTAAAGTATCATCTGCAGGACACAAACTCCTGTTAGGTCAAAATCAAAGTTAGTACTATTTCTTGAGAGACCTCAGGTATACTGCGGCAGAAACTAAAATCTGCCAGTTAACAGCCTGCAGTCTGGCATGAGCAGTAGCATATTAGACACTGAACTACAGATGAAATACAAGATACTGTCTGCAATCAGCAAGGCTCTGAGTCCTGACTGTGGTAATCACTACCATCTACTGAATATTCAAGCTTTTGGCACAAATGGACTATAACTTCTTTATTTTCCAATTAGTAAGTTGTGGCTGGTGCCCAATTATATCACAAATAGGCAGAACTGACCGTAGGAGCTTTTAGTTTAAGGAAAAAAGTTTAAGCTGGGATTGATGGCCCACGCCGGGAAGCAAGAAGATCGAGGCCTAGGCCTGGGCCACTTAGACCCTATCTCAGAATACAAAAGTACACGAAGGGATGGAGGTAGTTTGTCACAGCAGGACCTTGAACCCTTTGGCTGCTGTGACTGTCCTAATCAAAAGTACTTTGTTTCTATGTGCATACAATATAGAGATCTGCAAAGCACATGCCTTTAGCTCTCTTCAACTTGCCTCTCCCCCACCAAACACTGCTCTCACTTGACATTCTCACCTCTACAATGACTTCTTTACTCTGACTTTTCTTTCTTAGTTAAGACCCTTGAGATTTCCCATCTAGACTATTAAACCAGGGTTATAGTAGGTCCTCTCCTTTACTTGAGGTACATTTTCTAATACAGACCAAATCAAGTCTGAATTGGGATCTTGGTTCTCCTTTAAATCACAAACTATACGACTGCTTCGTTCTTAAGGTTAAGTGGACAACTACGTATCGCCAGCCTCAGTGGCTGTAGCTAGTTCCATACCATTCTATCATCATTGAGTCATACAGAAAAAGACATCACTTTGGCCCTGTAATGTGGATACAAACTATACTTCTCATTTTCCCAAATGTTTTCTGACTTGAAGGCACTCGTATAATCTTACATACTCCATGTCAAAACTCTTACATATTTTTTCCTTGTGCTACTTTTGAACATTTGCAATATATTTTGCTTATCCATTAAGGCCTGCTTCATATCCCACCTTCATATGCAGTACAAATTAAGCTCTAAATCTTAGCTCTCACTGTTCCTTACCATAGTGTTCCTCACTGAAAAAGGCAGTTATGACTCATGACAGTGCCTGTGTAACTTAGTGTGCTGCTGACTCTTGGAACGAGACAGGTGCCAATCAGTGCATACTGCATCACAGTCTGACAACAAACACTGGAATCCTTTTTAAAAGATTCACCACAATTCAACTTCATGAAGTTTGACCTAGTATTTCTCTTACCCTTGTATATTCAGAAAAACATATTCATCAGTTCCTAAATAAATTGCTTTCTTGGTAGCTGTTGCATTGTTAATCCCTGACATAAATCATGCATAACAGGAGTCACGGTGCTTATTTCAGTAATGAAAAGAAGCTGACAGCTGGCCCCTAAGTGACCAATATGGTAAAATGGAAAATGATGCACATGTTTTAAGTGAAAAGACTATAATTTTTTTTGCAGGGGGAGCTTTTCTTGAGACAGGGTCTCCTGTAGCCCCAGCTGTCCTGGAACTCACTATGTAGACCAGGCTGGCCTCGAACTCACAGAGATCCACCTACCTTTACCTCCCGAGTGCTGGGATTAAAGGCGTGTGCCACCAGGCCCAGCAAAAGACTATACTTTTGCAAAGAAAAACAATGCAAGCTTTCTGAAAGCCAGAGGTGGTGTCATTTGTGTGTCTGTACTATAAGGTATCTCAGGCAAAGAGAGCATTTAATCAAATTGATGAATGCTCCTTGAAGTTGTCAGCCTTAAAATGCTGAGTTTTACTGCTCAAAGTAAAGAGAAAAACAGACCCTGACACTTTATTTTGGGGAGCAGTTTTAAAAAGGCAGCAATTACTTTAAAAATACATCTTTGCTGGAATAGTTAGGTATTTAAAAGATTCTAATTGGCTATATTAATCTGGTTAAACCAATTATCTAGTCAACAAACCCCATATTAAAAAGCTAATTTTAGTTTCTGGAAAACTAGTAGTACCAGCAAATAAAATAATACACTTTAAAAACAATAGTGCTTTAAAACAATGGGTGTTCATTAATATAAAAAGACTGTGTTGTGGACGGGCATGGTGGCACACGCCTTTAATTCCAGCACTTTGGGAGGCAGAGGCAGGCGGATCTTTGTGAGTTCGAGACCAGCCTGGTCTACATAGTGAGTTCCAGGACAGCTGGGGCTACAAGGAGACCCTGTCTCAAAAAGACAAAAAAAAACAAACAAACAAAGAAAAACCTGTGTTGTCCTGTGGCAGAACAGGAAGTCTATTGCTATTTTTATAAATTTCTTACTGATGTGACTCATCCAGTTGATCACCTTATAGTTACTGAATTCACAGCCACTATTCAATAAAGCACTAGCAACTATAAAAAGAAATCTAGGTTATCTTTTTTTTTTTTTTTTTGAGACAAGGTCTCCTAGTAGAGGTGCTGACCTGGAACTCACTATGCAGACCAGCTGGCCTCAATCTCACAGAGATCTGCCTACCTCTGCCTCCCTAGTGCTAGGATAGAAGGCGTGTGCCACCACACCTGGCAGTCCAGGTATTTTATATGCTCTCATCTCAAAACAGAAATACCTCGGGTTCAGGCAGCACATCTCAGATGTGACACTCATAGTAAAAAGTTTACTGGTATCCAAAATACTAACACCCGTGGAATATGGGTTCATCCTACCTCGAAAACAATGAACCGATGGACTATGTTATATGAAAATATATGGTGATCCCCAAATGGGTCAGCTCTTTTATGCCTCCTCCTTTCCAAATGACCGCGCTAAGCACTATTCCTCTGCCTCATTCACCACCACCCACCATACCCAACACAGACTTCTCTGTGAAGTGCTCCCAGACGTTCCTAACCGTGCACAGGTGCAGGGTTCCACTACGGTCTGCATTTCTCCTGTTTTATCACACCAGGAAAGTCTATTCACCAGAATTCACTGGGGCAGGCTGGCTGTTTTATCTTTGCATCCTTTACTACGAATTACAACAGTTTTAGCTGCAAAACATGCCTGATAAGTATTTGCTTGAATAAGAAATCTTACAGAATCTTGGGTAGAAAAACTTACATTCTGAAAGTTGTAGGAAACAATTTTCCTATTCTTTCAAGTATATTTAAAAAGTGGTAAGGAAAAGGACAGGAAAACTTCCTTAAAAAAGCAAAGGATACTTGGCGTTTTGCGATCTTCATTAATAACGATCAGATCTGTGAAATCTCTTGCGATGCACTGTGGAATAATTTTCTTCAAAGCCAGTCCTCGTCTATAGTACACATGCGAGTCTGGTATAACCGTAGAAAGCTGCTCGCAGAGTCGTACTGTTCTCTGTAAGACAAGTAGGAAACTCACCAAAGGTGAAAAGGAGTAATCTGCAGCACACATTCATAAGGGCAGGGATAACGATGGTTATAAAACAGTGGTGTCAGGAGGGCGCAAGCTGGGGAAAAATGAAACCAGAACAATTTTCACTTTTATCAAAGGCTGATTATCTGAAACCCCAGGTTTTCAACAAGGGTCATTTTGTTTCCTGGAGAGATATATGGAGACATTTTTGTGGCTGTGACTGGTGGGGTGGGTGGTAAGTGGGGTTGCCGTGGTCCGTAACGGACAGAGGCTAAGGATGCTGCTAAATGTTCTATGATGGTAACAAGGAGCTCCCCAGCCACACTTTTAAGTGTCAAGGCTGTAAAACTGTTCTGAAAAGTCATGCTCAGTGAGCCTACATAGATCACCAGTTATTTTTATTTAGCTTATTCAGAGTCATGATCAAAGGCAATTAACTTTTCAGAATGGATCATTTTAAATAAAGTGATATAAGAATTCAAGGACTTAGGTTGACAAGACCCCAGTGGATGAACTTGCACTAAGGGACACCTGGAGACACTAACTTGACTCAATAGGTTTTAACATAAATGATAGGATTAAACCGGGGGGGGGGGGGGCGGCGGGAGGATGGGAGGTTGCCAGTGGAGGAGGAGGGTATAAGATGGTTGTGTATGAAATACACAAAACTTCAATAAAAAATATACAAAAAAAAAAAGTATTCAAGGACTATAGTAATCAACACATACTTACCCCATGAGGCCTATCTGATGTTGTAATGAGAATCTTGGGAGATGTTTGTCTGTTGAAGTAAGAAGCAAATTCATCTGTAGCTTCATCATAAGCAACCTGAGAACAGAGAAGAGATAATTTTATATCAAGTGAGTATTTTAATAGGCCCAAATCTGAAAGGAGGGACAGACAATAATAGCAACAAGAAGAGGTTGGTTTCCCCTTTGCATAATCCAAGTATACAATCAAAATTACAACAAATAACTCCAGGGCATAAACTAAAATGTGCCTACTTTTGCAAAATGGCTACAGATACAGATAAGAACACTAAGACCTGACTCGAGCTACTTCCGTTTCTCACTAGCTTGGTAGATAAAAACAGCACTACCACCTCGAAGACAGTGACAGTTAAGATCTCTGTCTGGACTGAAGCAGGACACAGAGGGAAACTGTCGGGAAGGAGTTGAAAATACAAAGCTCTGTCAAACCAGGGACCCAGTTCAAGGTAGGTACAAGGCAGTCAGAAATGTGGTGCTCTGGAAGTACGAGCTGTGGAGTACCCAGATAATGCCACCACAAAGCCACTGGTGGCACTAATCTCACACATACATTAAAGAGACCTGAGCACTAATCTCACACATTAAAGACATCTGAGAATCTACTGAGCATGAGAATCAAGGGAGACTTGAGAACTATGCAGCATTGAAGACATTCCTCAATGTATACCCAGCTGACATGGAAAAAGATGTGTTAAGAGCTCAAGGTATTCAACAGCATCTACATAATCACTGACTGACTATTAGCCATGTAAACACAGGAGCAATCCCTAGGCTGGCATGTTAGAAAACAAAGCAAAACAACCAAAGCTAAGCAGAGATAAGTCCAGGCAATTATAGAAACCACAAAATTAGTCTTGAACAAAATAAAACAAACCCCCTAAACTAAGGTCAGGCACAGTGCCTTACTCTTGTATTACCAGGGAGGCTAAGGCAGGAGGACTGTCCATGAGTTAAAGGCCAGCATGGGCTACAGAGTGAGTTCCAGGGGTAAGCCTGGGCTACAAAGGGAGCTCGTATTTCAGAAACTATCAAGGGGAAAATAGTCAACAGATACTGAGTGGGCTCACACACTGAATTTAGAAGACTGGAAAGCAGTGTTCTATCACTTGAAGGAAAACACAGACTTCATAACAGATCTGAGAAATGACCAAGATGTATCAACATTATCCCGTGTGAAGAACAGAACAAACCAAAGCTGGAGAAACTTGTAGGATAATGTCAAGCATTCCGAGAGTATTGTAAAGGGACTCTCCTGAAGAGAAGAGAATGGGGCAGGAAAAAGTACTTGAAGAAATGTGATCTTGATGAAAATACCAACATCAATCCAGGAGGCTCAAAAATCCAAAGTGGGATAAAAAAGAAAAGAAAAGACATTAGAGCCAAGAACTAAAACACCAGGAAACACTGAAAGAAATAAAAAGGACAGTCAAAAAGGATGGTTAGTACAAATAATGAAGAGTAAAATGCAGAGGAATATGTTCAAAGTGCTAACAGAAAGTAGAAGAAACCAGCCAAGAACGTTATACCCCGAAAAAGTAATCTTTGAGAATGAAGGCAAAATGTATGTATTTTCAGATAAACAAAAACAAGATAATTTGCAGCTATTATATCTGCTATGGAAACAAAAAGGAAATTCTGCAAATGGAAAGACAACGATACTCGCCGGTATTAGATCTAGGGGATGGAAAAGGAACGGCAAATGGCAAGCGAGCACGCACACAGAAGCCCCACTGTGTGGATGAACACTCTCCGTTTCTGTGAAAAGCATGAGACTGTTTCAGGCAGTAATTGCGACTCTAGGTTTATACACGGACAATATGCAGGATATACAACGAATAGCACAGGACGGTGGGAGAAACAGAGCTCTCCTAGTACAGTCTTGCTACAATTTAGCAGAACTATGATAATTAATATTGTGGTCTCTTTCTTCTTCTTCTTCTTTTAGCACTAGTGCTGAGAATTAAACCCAGGGCACTATGCATGCTAGGCAAGCAACACTGAACTGTATCTCTAGCCCAACACAGAGTATAATGCTAAGAGCAACTACTAAAAGTTTACTGTAGTCTAAAAAAAAAAATCTAGATGGATTAAAATAGCATGCTAACAAGTTGTAACATGAAAAAAAAGTAGCCAAGGAAGAACAGAGCAAAATATATATTTTGAGAAAAACGTGGCAGATGTAGGTCTGGCTATATTAATAACTGACATTAAATACTAACTTTTGGGCTGACTAAAATAAGATCTTGATAAGTGACACATTTGAAATACAAATCCATGAATAACTTCAAAGTAAAGCATGAGAAACAGGCACTATGCAAAGAATACCTAAAAGAGATTTACATGGATATATTACATTAGACAAAGATTGCTAAATATAGTGGGGGTATTTTATATTGGATTAAGAGATCAATACATTAAAAAATGTCATATATCTATATAGTTAAGTAATTACATATAGCAATATAATTGCAAGTATATATGCAACTAACAAAAAAGCTACTAAAAACGTGAAGTAAAAACTGAAAGCCATGGAAGGAGACAGTGAGCAGGTGCAGTGGAGAGACTGGCCTCTCATTAACAGGTAAACAGAAAGTCAGAAGAATACAGAAGGTGTGAACTGTGCTATCAACATAACAACTGCTCCAAAAATAATAGAAAGCACAAGTTTTCAAGGGTTTATAGAATATTCTCTAGAACAAACTATATGCTAGGACTCGAAAGTCTGCCTTTAACTGAAAAGGACTGAAGTGAACAGCACATGTTCAGCAGCCATAATAAAGTTAAATTACGAATGAACTGCAAAGAAGGAGTATCTGCAAATATTTGGAAATTAACATAGTTAAGGAGCCAAAGATGTCACAGGAGAAATTAAGAAATCTCTTAGGTTGGAAACGTGGTAGAGTTGACTGCCTAGCATGGTACAAACTGGGTTTGATCCCTGCCTCCTGGAAAAATTCTTCAACAGACTGAAAATGAAAACATAAAAGCATGTCAAAATGTAGGGGCTATGGTAGAACCAGAGCTTTTAAATGCTTATTTTAGAAAAGTCTAAAATTAATAATTGAAGCTTCCTTCTTAAAAAGCTCGGGATACAGAGGGTGAGTAAATAAGATGAACAAGTGAAAAGAAATGAAGACAGACGAGAAAATGAATAATATGAATTATAGTGGCAGGACAGAGACAGAGGCTGGATACTGAATGCCAAAATGCAGTTAGAGGAAATTAATTCTAATATAGACAACAGTTTGAAGGCTCTCAAAACATGAAAATAATATTTGAGAAGACGTAAATGATAACTACTATGACTTAGTCATTGGGCATGGATGGCATGCATGTACTAAATTATCATACTAGACCCATAAATAAATAAGCCAATTAAATAAAAAAAATCAAACAAATAAAACTAATGAAAAGACTAAGAAATCAACAAATATTTCACTAAGAGATATACTCAGACTTACATAGTAATAAAAACACATTTTAAAACTTGCGGAATTTACCAAAAGTGATATTTGGAGGGACTTTTATGGCCTTTTGCTCATAGGAAAAAAAAAAAACGTAACTCAGTAAAATAAAAATTAAAAAAAAGGCTGAAAGTAGAAAGAAATAAAGAGATAAAAGTGAAACTGGGAAAAAAAGTCAGTAGAGAAGATCAAAGAAAAATCTACTTTGAAAATACAAAACAAATCAGGTATAGACTGACAAACACCTTTAATCCCAGGAACTCAGGAGGCAGAGGCAGGTGGATCTCTGTGAGATAGAGGCCAGCCTGGTCTATATGGAGATCTGAGCCAGCTGGGGCTACAGGGAGACCCTGCCTCAAACAATGACAAAAAAAAAATTTTTTTTTAAAGAAAATACAAAATAAATAAATCTAGCGAACTGATTTTTAAAGTCAGAATAAATACGAGGATTGATAAGGGGACATGCTGTAGTTTCACTCATGAGCATAAATAAACATTAATTCAAAGAAAGTATTAACATTCTAAAACAATGCATAAAAAAAGATATCATAACCAAAAATTACCTTATCCCAAAATGCAATGTATTTATTTTCAATAGTAGAAAATCCATAGATGCCATTTACCATATTAAAGCAATATAGAAAACTCACATTAACACCCCCGTTATTTTCAGAAAAGAATCAGACAATATTCTATTTCATTTATGATGAAACAAAACCAAAGCATAAATGGGATTTCTTTAACAAGAAGGAAAATCTATATCAATGACGTAAACATCTGTGAGAATGCATCAGCAGTATTCTCTTGAAAATCAGGAACAAAGCAAAGACACCAATACTGTCTTTTTCTCTTTATTCAACATTACATAGAAGTTCCGGTCAGCACACAAGTAGGGAAAAATAAAGCAAGAAATAAATCTTTTGTTTGTAGAAATGATTATCTAAAATTAAAAATGAAGCCAGTATTTCGATGAATTATGAGAAATCAGTTTGGGTAAGCCAGGGGTAGAGGATCAGTATCCCCCAAAAAAGTTTGTTTATGAGTTAGCAATTTCAAAAGATGCTGTGTACATTATTAAGACATGTGTAAAACAGGTATAAAAAGATTATGAAAAACTATGAAATGTATTGAAGTATATTTTCAGTATTTAAAAAAGATCTAAATGGTGTGGCAGTGCACACCTCTAATCCCAGCACTCAGGAGGCAGAGGCAGGCAGATCTCTGTGAGACAGAGGCCAGCCTGGTCTACACCACCAGTTCCAGGCCAGCTGGGGCTACAGGGAGACTCTGTCTCAACAAAACAAAACAAAACAAATCTAAATGAAGCAATATATAGAGATCTCCAAACTTGCTGATTTAGTGTCATTTAAAATTCATATGGAATTCACTGTGGTGAATTCAAGCAGGTGAATCTCTGTGAGTCCTGGCCAGCTTGGTCTACACAGTTTCAAGCCAGTCAGAGTTACATAGTTGTACTGAATGTATCAGAATAGGGAATTAAGAATTAAGAATTGTATTAAATGTAATAGAATTAAGAAACTAAGAATCAAAAAAGAACTCTAGCAAAAGTATGTAAACATATCCAAAGTGTGTACATTAAAGATAAGACCATCACTTAGTAGCCCTAGAATGTAACCTAGCAACCTGAGTGTAACTGTGTGATTAGCCAAATGACGTAAGAAACTGATAAACATATGTTCGCCAAGTCATGCATAAGGACTATAAAAACCCAGAGGAAAATCGTGGGCGCACATATGAGCTGAACTCCTGTCAGCTGTGCGGCCCCATCTTCTGACTGATCCCATCTCTGGACCGTGAGAAAAAAGAGGAACTTCACGTCGCGAACATCTGGACCTGACTCGACCCAACCATGAGACACCACATCCAACTGAGACGACGTCACTCGGGCATTGGCCCTAGGACTGGTGCTCTTATCTGTCGTTGTGTTATGTGTGAAATTGGTTTATGATTCCCCAAATAAATGCATTGAAAGACATTGGCTCTAAAAATATTTATCCTCCCTTGCATAACGAGGTGATGCTCAACTTAGCCTTAATAACTCCACTCGCGACAATAGTGAAACCCTGTGTCAAAAAAATAAAAATGAGGTGCCCAACTCTTGGCCTCTGGGTGAGTTGCCAAATCCCACCACCCCCATTCCCAAGCTCTGGGATCCAGTCTAGTTCTTCCCGCTGCTCCAGGGCTCAGGCTTCCCAGCAGGCAGGTGGGGGCAGGCCCATTCTATTCTCATCCCCTCCCTTGGGCCTCGGGCCTCCTCCACCTAAGGCTGTGGGAGTGCAACTAACATGCCAGGACTCCTAACTAGTCAGGCCTCCTTCACCCTCCTGGAGAACTCCTGAGTAGCCTGCCTGGATCCTTCTGGTCCCGCACATATAAAAATCAAAGGAGAGAACCTGAAGCCCAGACTAACCAAGTTTTCATATCCAATCAGAAAGCAATCAAATCAACATCAATAATACAAACAGGATCAAACTTCAACTCAGCAAAGGCAGGCTTGAGTTTCCGATCAGTAGCATAAGCAACAAAAGAAATCCACATGCCCAAATCACAGTGAAAAAAATAATTATATGAAAAACCAAGATAATATATCCCCACAAACATCACCAGTACTATAGAAGAGTTCTACAATGAGAACTTTCTAAAGGAAACTCAGGACGCAGAATTTAAAAGAACAGCATAAACATGATCAAAGAATTCAATAAATTTTAAGAAGACACAATTCAAAGACCATGCAAACTCAGATAAAAACCAGCATAGAACTAGGGAAATGGGCAGAAGGCTCCAACCTTAACTGAGGAACTATTGACAGCTGATCACTGCCGGGCAAAAGAGGGTTGATCTTCTTTAAGAGAGTGAAGCTAGATAGGCTGAACGGGCTCCAGTGAATGAACTCACACCAGGAGATGGCTGGTACACAAACTTGATAGGCTTTAACATATAAGACAGAACGTGTGAAATCCTGTTGGCAAGCTATGGGGGTAGCAGATAGGGGAGGTCTGCATATGATTAAAATGTATTGTATGAAATTCACAAAAAATGAATAAAAAATACACATTAAAACTAAAAATAAATAAGTAAAATTCATATGGGAGAACAAAGGCCCAGGGAAAGCCAAATCCTGAAGAGAGGGGGCAGGCAGGATGGGGACATCTTGCTCTTATAGTCGCAGTGATGCTAAAATAGCAATAAGTCTAGGGTGATCATCCAAATTTATTAGATTTCTAACATTACCTCTTCATCGTTAGGGTCTACTGTGGTTTCGTCATGGACTCGTTGGTTGTCAATGGTCTTAGGGACAGGCTTTGGCGGAGCCTAAGTAAGAGAGAAAGCATTAACTTTTAGAAGCATTTTATATGAGTTTTATATTACAGTTGGGGAAGGAAAAAGCCTATAAATAACCTCAAAACAATCTGTTCCTGACTTCAAACCACCACTACTGTTCCACTGCTGAGAAAAATATCAAATTATAAAAAAGGAAATGGACAGAATGAAAAAAATTACAAAAGCACATATCTGTGTGACTTTGTTGTATGCTTCTTGAACTCTACCCAGAAATAGGCAACAAAAATCTAATCATCTAGTAATTCCACTTTGAGGAATTGTTGTTAAGGAATAACGTGGGGGAAGGGCATTTAAGAAACATCACTAGTATCAAAAAAATAAACAATGTCTTATGACAGGGCAATTGCCAAATGTGTAGTACATTGATGAGACACTGTCAGAATCGACAATCATGTTCACACAGCCTCAGAAATGGTATAAATGAGCTCCCAAGGCGAACAGAATTATAAGACTATATAACAAAAACCAACTCAAAACGCATTCACATATGAACCAGTTGTCACTTTAGGAAACAAATACTGTGGAATGTTTTAAGTAATCGTTCAAAAAATGTTTTTACATTTATTTTCTGTGTGTGTGGTGTGGTGTGTGGTGTGATGTGTAGGGTGGGGTGGTGTAGTCAGTGGGGGGTGGGATGCATGCGCATACACATGCCACTACACTCATTTCACTCATGTGGAAGTCAGAGGACAACTTGTGGGAGTCAGTTCTGTCCTTCCGCCATGTGGGTTCGAGAGGGAACTCATGCGATCAGACTTGGTGGCAAATGCCTTTACTCACAAGGCCATTTTGCTAGCCCTTAAGTAATTTTTAAAGGAAGTACTTTTAGGAAGTTATCTTTCAGTTCAAAAAATGAGATTTTTGTTTTGTTTAGACAAGGTCTTGTGGGTGCTGGTCAAGCAGTCTATCACTAAGCTACACCCCAACTCAAGAATGGTGATTTTTTTTTTAAAAGGGTGATTAGCATATTAATTTGTAATTAGCTGATTATAGAAGTTTCAAGGACACTAACATTGCTTACTATATTAAAATTTTGTAGTTTAATTTCACATGATTTAACCCGATACCATTTTGAAGATGTATGAAAAAGTAGAATGTTTAGTTGTAGTCTGAGTATGTTCCTTTCCTCGAGATCATTATGCTCACTCAGTACTTTATCTTACAAGAGAGAAAAGTGTGGAGAACTGCATGTTGAAAAAATTTCTAAGTATAAATCACACCCTAGGTGCATGCATAAAAACATGAAACTAAACAAGAGTATTTAGTTGCATAACAACATGCAAGTATTTAGATTTCTTTTTAGGTGCATGTCACAAGAGCTAAACCCTCAAGCCTAAATTGGTGCACTCCCTCATTTCCAAAGCCAGGGAGTGTTTTCTCTGCTTCTCAAACATGTAAAGTGACATGCAAAACAGTATCACTGTGCCTACTGGTTAGGCACACCAACAGTAAATACAATAAAAGTATAGAACAAGGGAAAAATGAACAAGTTCATGTGAGTGACTGTTTCAGGAAAAGAAATCAAGCTGGAAGAAACAGGCAAGGGACTTCCACATTTTCCCTAAATTGGGTAAAGAGTAGAAAGGCATTTGTTACATTATTTTTATTCTTTTTACGCATCTGAAAAATTTAGAAGAAAGCAACCCACATGGTATCAGAAGACACTACTAAGACAGAAAGCATGTGGCTAAACTGTTACTTACCTTATCACCAAGAGCCTCTCTCTCTTTTTTAAGTTTTTTCTTAGCTGCCAACTTTTCCTAAAGGGAATAAAAATAAAAGGCAACATTGAGAAACCACCAGTTATATCGCAAACACATACAGAAACTACAAATGAGTGGAATGGCTATTCTGAGAAATCCCTGTAATCTTTTAAAGTAAGCACAAAGAAAAATTTGTTTTAAGTTCTCCTTATGTAGACAGGTTCTCCTTATGTGACAATCCTGCCTCAGCATTCCTAGTGCTTAGATTACATGTATGTACTACCACACCCAGACAGATTTTATTTTTAAAAAGCTAAATTACTATAGAAATGAGCAAGCTAATCCATAAGATTTATTTAAAAAAGATCCTCCTTTGTCAAAGAAGTCTACACCAGAAGTTTGAACATTTAAGTGTTCAATAGCTTTTTTACTATAAAGTTTCCAATTAAACTAAACACAGCAAGTTTTGTTCTTCCCTTAGCAGTTCCATCCCAACCACCGTAGTTCTAATGCTTACTTCTGTGGGAAAGCACTAAGAATAAACAGAAATAGAGGTGAGTTCTCAGGACGTTTCCAATAAAAATCATCACCAGTGATCCTCATATTTTACCATCAAAATAAGCTTTTAAGACCAGTAAAATCTTGCAAACATGGTTATGATTTACTATAAATCTGTATCTTCTGAGTTCTGGACAAAATGCTTGATACATAACAGAAAACTGCCTTTTTTGCAGTGCCTACTGATACTTAATCCATCAGGTCTACTAGAAAGCACCATCCAAAGAAGTCTTTCAGGACATTCCTCCCTCACACTTGCTCACAAGACCAGGTTAGATGTCCACTGTGTGAACTGCAGTAGCAAACGAAGAACCAGTCCAAGGCCTCAAATAAAGAGTACGAAATTAAAAAGAATTTAAAGCCTATTATACATTAGTCTTTATGATATGCAAAAAGAAGAAAATGCTTTTTTTTTTTCAAATTGCAATTTAAACGCAAACAAGCTCTATACCCTTGGCAAGCCTATGTTAACTCCCAGAACTATGCAAGAACAGGGCTGTCATGAGCAAGTGCAATTATTAGAAACGTCCCAGTACTAACTACAGGTATCGGAGAAGCTATACTTTGGATCTCCCATGTAATGCCCGTATTGCATATCCTGGAAACGAGCCAACGTTGGGTAGCCTGGGCAAAGCGGGGCAGCGGAGGCTTTTGCTTTCTATTGAATGGTAGTCTCTAGATCAGAACTTCCGGATTCCCTTCCGAGTCGCGTCCCGGGAAGGAGCTGGCTAGACCCGAAAGCCTCGGCCAGGATGATGGACAGGAGGCTGCTCCTAGAGACGCCGCAGCAGGGCCAGGGACCGTGCCAGGGACTGCTCCAAGCGAGCGCAGCGTCACCCGAGCAGCCCCGCCGCGCTCCGCACCCGGCCCGAGACCCTCCGCCCCGCTCCAGGACCAGTGCGCATGCGCCATGCCTCCGCCCGCACCTTCCGCTGCTGCTGCTTCCACCGCGTGAACATCAAGTGTCGCCGCTGCTTGTTCTTAATCTCTGAGATGCTGAAGCCCGGCGGGAAGGCGGCGGCTTTCGGGGGCTGCGCCCCGCCGTCCGCCGCCCCATCCTCGGCGGCCGCGGCTTCCTGACGATCATCGGCACCCGCTTTCCTCTTGGAGGTTTTCTTCTCACCGCCGCTCATCTCCCCGGCTTTCGCCATCTTGGCTCCTGTACGGAAACGGAAACGCCTTCTTCTTGACCCGGTCCTGCCGCCTTTACTTCCGGGGTCACGGAGGTCTTTAAAACGAAGGCTGTTTTCCTAGCTCTTTAAGCTAGGGATAACGTTCAGGGTTAGATCAAGTGTAGGCGACTCCCACTGTGCAAACAGTGGAGGGTTCCTCTGTCGAGGCTCTGCCATGTGCCAATCTTTGCCTATTTAATTTCATTTTACTGGAAAGAAACAAAATAAAGTCAAAAATAAGTTGTATGACAAGCTTTTAATTAACATATATATAAAATTAGAACAAGATAAAAGATGAAGAGAGTGGGAATTACAACTTTAAAAAAAATTTAAAATTGTTTTTAATTTTTAAATTTTAAAATGAGTGTAAACCATGTATGTACGCGCCCCTGTGTCCTGCAGGGCCAGGGGAGGTCAGAAGATGCTGTCAGCTCCCCTGGAACTGGAGTTCCGCATGGTTGTTACCCTTTGTGGGTGCCGGTGCTCTGCAACAGCCGGCAGTGCTCTTAATTGCTGAGCCAGCTCTCCAGCTCTGGCATTGCAACTTTAAATGATTCTCATTGTGCTTCAAAGAAAGTTCCACTGAGCTGAGATTTTTTTTTTTTTTTTTTTTTTTTTTTTTGAGACAGGGTCTCCTGGTAGCCCCAGCTGTCCTGGAACTCACTATGTAGACCAGGCTGGCTTCGAACTCACAAAGATCACCGCCTGCCTCTGCCTCCCAAGTGCTGGGACTAAAGGCCTGCACCACCACGCCTGCTGAGCTGAGATTTCTAAGGAACCAAAGTAACCATGCAGCAGTCTTGGAAAAGAGCCTTTAATCTGAGAAATGCTGTTAATTTAGGAAAGTTATCAAGGCAATGGTTCCAGCTCTGAGCCATCCAGTCAATAGCAAACCTGCCCTATTCCAGAAACATCAAGGATGACAGAAGTCACATGGAAAATTAAGAGAGCCAGGAGCCAAAGAGAAGGTTTGAGATTGACCAAATTTTCTGAGTTTTGTAAAACTTGGGTTTTATATGGGATACAGATCTCTTGGGGTATTGTGAGGAAGAAAAGTTACTGATCTGTTATTTTTATTTTTGATTATTTTAATGTTAACCACCCTTTTGTGGTTCTGGGTGTTAGGTTTTGGGACACAGAATACAGGAGCCATAGGAGAGAAAGAAAAATCTGTGGAAAGATGAGTGGGCTAGAAGGAGGTGAGAAATGATAGTGAAAGAGGTGTAGTGAAGGTGGTGAGAAGTGATCAGATTCTTCTGGAAAGTGAAGTTCCCAATGACTAAATGAGATCATGACAGAAAGAAGAGAGTCCTGTATGACGCTAAACCATTTATGGTAAGCAACTAGAAGAATGGAGATAACATCGGTTAACAGAGAAAGTTTTCAGTAGTGAAAATTTGAGATCAGGATTTCAGTCTTGGGATGGGTATGGTAGTGCACACCGTTAATCCCAACACTTGGGAGGCAGAGACAGCCAGACAACTGAGTTTGCAGATGGCCTGGTCTACATAGGTAGTTCCAGACCAGCAAGGGCAATGTAGTAAGATCCTGTCTCAAAAAAAAAATTATATTTGGAAAAATGAAATTCAAGAATTTGGTCTCAGCAGCAAAATAGGAAGATACGACTTTAGATAAAAATTAGGGCATCATCAGCATGTAAGTAACATTTCAAAGCATTAAAGTGTAGAGAACTGCAAGGGATGAAGACCAAGGAGTATGCAATGGAATAGTTCCACCCACAGAGCTGAAGAGACCAGGAGGGCCCAGCAAAGGAGAGTGAGAGAAGAGCCCTAAGTGTTGCAGAAGTCAAACGAAGAACATGTTCCCAGTGGTTAAATTTGATGTATTCTTCATTTTAATTTTATGGAAATACCTCTCAAGCAGTAACAAAAGTCACAGTAACAAAAGTGGTGCTTTTGGTTTACTGTTAGGAGTCAAGTTTCTAGAAACTGCCTTAATTTCAAACTTAATGTTCCAATATCTATATTATTTTGATAATATAATACTTTAGTGTTTTTATTTCATTTTTTACCCAATCGGAATGTTGAAATCATCAAAATCCCAGAATACAAGCCCCATTTTACCTGTTATTGGCTACAAGTCCAAAATTGTGATTGAAAAACTAAAACTAGGCAGGCAGATCTTGGTGAGTTTGAGGGCAGTCTAGTCTACATAGTGACATCCAGGCTAGCCAGTGCAGCATTGTAAGAGATGGCTCAGTGGTTGAGAGCACTGTCTGCTCTTGCAGAAGACCCAGGTTCAGTTCCCAGCACCTACATAGCACCTAACAACCGTCCATGACGTCAGTTCCAGGGGATCCAATGCCTTCTTCTGACCTCCATGGGCACTGGATGACATGGGTGCACTTCCATACGTGCAGGCAATACACTCCTACACATGAAAATATATATATATTTTGGAAGCCTCTTCTAACCTGCTGAACCACAACAAACAGAATAAGTTTGGCCCAAAGTGACCTCTGTTGTTGTGAACAACTACTTAGCTCAATGTGTAAACAAATTGTAGGCTGAGTACATACTTGAAATCAACCAACAGAGTCCCAGCCAATCATAGCCATTGAACTTCCAGCAGGAGGCTGAAAGCTGTGAAACTGTCAAAACATGACCACATAATGCAATTGCCAATGGCAGCCAATCAGATTGTTTCTATATGTGCCTGCCTTTTCTGTGGCTATAAATACAGTCTACCTATGTGTTAGGATGAACCGTCTCAACCATCTTTCCAGAGGAGTGCCATTTTGTTCTAGAAACTTTTTCTTCCTTAAGTGAACTTTGTTAAATTGAACTGGCTCAGTTTTTTCCTCCCTCCCTTTTCCCTTCCCTATCTATTCAACAAATATTTATTGTACTTTTTGCTAGGCTTTCTGCCTATAGACATCAAAAATGAACTTCCTGCCTTCAGGCAACTCCAGTGGGAAGAAGATAGCAAGTAGAGTTCATCAGAAATGGGATTATTTTTTAGAGGTTCTATGACATATTTTGTATAATTAAGACCAAATTTGGAATATGACTTCTAGCATTTTCTTCAGAAGGCCATAGTGGATATCCATCCAGGTACCTTCTGTGTAGCTTTTTCCTCCAACTGTAACAAGATTTTTCCTTCAGGCATAACATGATCATCCCATCACCATCCTATAGAAGAGAGAACCTTGGCCAGCAATCACGGCAACGCAATAAGCCAGATAATATAATGATAGCTAGGTCTGCAGTAATAGTGTTGGAGTTAACACTTAATGGGAAAGAGGGTAGGAAGTGTCACCAGACCCTCACCTCGGATTCCACCCATCACTTGCCCCTGTTCCCCAGCTGTATGTGGTATTGGGAGATGCTCAGGTACACAGGAGGTGGAAGGTTAACTGAAGGTGCTACTCCATGTTGCAGCTTCCCTGAGGCTGTCACTCATGATGAGGTGGGGTTTTTCCTTAATTCAGCTGTGTTCCAGTCTCCCACCTGTAAATAACCCCAACACACTCATTGGTTTACCAAGTTGGGCCAGGAGTGGAATTGTTTCTTTGGTTTGCCATCAGTTCCCTATTTGGAATAGGTAGATACTTGTTCACATCTCCCCAGTAAAAGTAGCACAACAGCACCACATAATGTTTCTGTCAGTGTCAGAATGCGTGTGTGAATATGATCTCATAAAGCTCTAATGGAGCTGAAAACAACCTGATTGGCTAGCTGAAGCTGTTGTTATAGCAGAACACATGACGTGTTTGTGGTAATGCTGGTGTAAACAAGCCCACCATGATGCTGGTCATGTAAAATAACAGTACACTCATGAACAATACACAGTCCTGGATGATGCTAACAAAATACTGTAACTGGTATATGTAACACTACTGGTTTCTGTATTTACTGTTCTGTTCTTTTCATCACTAGAGTATACTCCCATTTGTATTTTTTTTCTGTAAAACAGTATGCCATGCTCCATTTGTAGCAGCCTTATACATCTCATTTATCACATCTCTTGATTACCACAAGGGGCCATGCTGAGTGATTGCCTTTAAACCATCTATGCTTGTATAAGTATACTCTACTGTTTGCACAGTGATGAAACTACCTAATAAACGTATTTCTCTAAATGTATCTTCACCACTGAGGGACTCATGACTGCACTTGGAAGTGCTTTGTTAAGCTCAGAATATACCATAAAAATTAAACCATGCATTGTGATCAGGTTAGGCCAGAGACAAAATATAGTTAAAACATGAGGTGATAAAGCATAGTCCTTGGCTTAGACTAGCTGTTCTCAAGCATTTTGTCTTAGAAAACTCTTAAAAATTATTGTGAACTCCCAAAAAGCATTTGTCTCTGGGATTTATGTCTGTCAGAATAAACTGAAACTGAAATTAGAGCTTTAAAAACATGCATATACTTAATAGCAATAAAATAATTGATATTTTATACTTTATGTAAATGAGTTTTGTAAAACAAAATTTGGGACGAGTAATCATATTTTTACATCCTTTCAGATCTCTTTTGTGACCGATTTACTAGAAGAAGGCTAGATTTATAACTGTTTCTGCAGAGAATCTGTAGTGATACAACATTTTTGTTATATGAGGGAAATCTGGTCTCAAACAATTATGTGTCTGGTCAAGAGAAACGTATGTTAGAGCTTTAAAAAAAACTATTGATATTCTTTGGTACTACATCAAAATTTGAGACATGGTAAGATTCTTAAAGGGTAATTGCCATGTGGGATCTAAATCCTATCAATGAGTTTTTCATACTATGTTACATTAAAATTTATTAGCCTGTCTTGTATTCTGAATGAATCTTTTACCCATATATGACTTTGTAACAGTATGCATTTGTTGTTATTTGGAGAATATTGGTTTACTGTGTCTTCCAAAAGTTGACATATTTTACTGTACCAACTTAAAAAACTGTTTTAAGACGTCACTACAATACATCATCAATGTACTGAAATGCTCTCAAGCTTACAGTAGTTTACACAAAATTTTCACTTGGATAGGGGCTTCCTTGGCTCCAGATCACTAGGTACCCTCGGTGCAACCCAGGGTGTTAAGGGAGAGATTTAGAAGAAAGAGGAGTTCATCTCTCGACTTGGAGAGATGCATTCATTTATGGGCATAACAGTAAGTCATTAGGAGTCAATTTAATACT